GGAATGAGTAACATTAGAAAACAAAGAAAACAAAGGGGAAGCGATGAGTTGGACTAGGTGAAATGAAGAGAAGCTGGAAGAGTCTGGAGAACCCTTCATCCAACAGTGCCCTAAAGGTTGACAAGAAGACTTCTGGAAGGGTCCTTCATCCAGAAATGGTGTGAAGATTAACAAAATCAGTTCTGGAAGAGTCCTTCATCCAGCAGTGCATTGAAAGTTCAAAAGATTCTGGATAAACCCTTCATCCGTCAGTAAATTTGAAGGTCGAATAGAAGAATTCTTTAAATCCATATTTACAGAATGAATGTATTTAAATAATATAAAGGATAGAGAATTATGATATAACTCAGTTGGAGAAGAATTCTTTGATGAAAAATCTCTCTGATGATAAATTCTCTCAAGAAAAACGTAATATATATATTTATATACGAGAGAATCTCATTAATTCGAAAGAATAAATTCATAGAGATGAAGTTATTCGAAAAATGTATTCTAAGAATTAATCACAAGTGGAAAAAATAAAACAAATAAACTTCTCCTACTCGTTTCTTAAATCTCAAGTAAAGATTTTCCATTTGGTCCATTAATAAACTCGGCAAACGATATAATTACATAATCTATTTAATCTTCATTCTGTTTTAAAAAATGATGTTAAAAATTCAAATAAGAAGGAAGAAAATCGTCTTTACTTTATGCATTTAACATTTTAAGTCCGTTGATGGAAAGTTGCAAAGGCAAGAACATTGACTATAATTTATTAGGCAGCAATAAGTGTCAGGTCTTCTTTGATGGGAATTTATGGGAAAAGATGCCTAATCTGAAACACTAGCAACACAGACGATTGTTGCAAAGCTGACAAGTCAGACGGGATTTACAGCGATAAGTCAATAAGATCGACTCGGCTTTTTACAATACCCGAGAGAAAGTAGAGATTTGTATTTTTAGAATCAATCTTCTCTTTTATTTAATGACAGAGAAAATTCGTGGTCCATCTACTATTCATCTTTCTTCTCAAAACATTCTTTGATCTTCCAATTGATTCTTCTTATTCTAAAATCGTTGAGAAATTCACCAATCTCATACACGCATAAACCTTAAGTATAGGAGAAGAGGAGGAAAAGGGGAGAAGATAATCCTAAATTTATCTCTAAGTAACATTGTTCCTTTACATTTTTTTTTTTTCATTTTACGAGTGTTACTTCTGTTTAAATGTATCCTCTCTTAAGAATATTTAAGGCTGTAGGAAGAGGAAGAGGCAGAGAAAGATTGTTTCTTCGTTGTTATATTGTTATACAAACGTTATTTATGCTTAAAAACAGTCTAAACATCTTATTCTCTCTTAATGATACTTAAGAATACAAGAGATTTTATCTATAAGTAAATTTATTTCTTTCCATTGTATAAATGTTAATTATGTTTAAAGAAATCAATGTTTTATTCTCTCTCAAGGATACTTAAGGATACAAGAAGGGAAAGAGGTGGAGAAGGTCCTAAATTTGGCAGTAAATAAATTTACTTACTCGTTGTACAAATGTTAATTATGTTTAAAGGTAATTTAAACATTTTATTCTCTCTTAAGGATACTTAATGAAACTTATATTTAGGGATGAGAGAGGAAGACATGATCCTAAATTTTATTTATAAATAAATATTTTTCTTTCGCATTAAACAAATGTTAATTGTGTTTAAAGGCAATCGAAGTACTTTATTCTCTCTGCATCTCTAGTGAATATTCATCTATATTTCAAAAGGAAAAGTTTCATTTGGCAAAAGAGAAAATTCCTTCAAATTCTGTAAATAGAAAGGTTTATATAATGATTATTCTCATCCTCGTTAAAATTCCAAGTAGGCATTTAAAGTTTTAATTGGTTCAATCTTCTTTATTTATACATGTTTCGTCAATACTTTTGCATACTGATCATTGATTTACATTCGTTAATTAAATAAGCCTCTCTTTTACGTCATTTCTACTTAAATAATTACAATATATTACTATTTAATATATTCAACTTGACCTTTTCATATCGAAAATTTTAATTATTTCACATAATGATAATAACAATTATCAGGATGAGGATAAAAAGTTAATTCAAGGATGAAGATGCTGTATCAAATTAATAAATAAAGAAAGAAGAGGTGAATTTAAGGATGAAGAATAGGTTAAGGATGCAGAATCAAGGTAAGAATGAAGACTGATTTAAGAAAAAAGAATTAAATTTAAGGATGAAGAGTCGATTAATGATGGAGAATTAGGATGAGAATATGTACTCTTCATTCTTATTTTGCCCAAATTTTACGTATTTTATACACGTTTTCTACTTATTACACGCAAAATTTATGTATTTTCTGTGTGTTTTATGCTCATTTTGTATAGAAACGTTATGATTTTATAAATTTTAAGATGTGAATTTTCACTTAAACATTCCTTTCTTAGAGTGCTAAACAAGAGTTTAGTTTATAAATATTTTTTATGAGTGTTTGTCTGTCCGTAATCTTTAAACTTAAACAAATAGTCAAATTAAAGAATAAAAATATTTCTGAATATTTTTCTGAATTATTTTGAGGAAAGATTTTAATTAATTTATAACATAATTTCACTTAATGGTAGGCAATGTCATCATCTCATGAATGCTTTAATAATTAGAATTAATTTAATTCATTAATAATTTATAAATATCTGGAGGAAAAGATCAACTCTGAGTTGTATTTGAACTCTGAAATCCTATAAATTTCTTATTAGTCTGTCTGTCTGTTCAACAATTTAATATATTTATCGCACTTAGAAAATGAATTTAGAGATAATTACGTATTATTATACAAGATTATTCTTTTATTTTCAAGAGAATATGTAACTTAAAACATGAATAATTAAGTTATAATCATTTTAGTCGCATCGCATCGTAGCTCATAGGCGATGCGATAAACCATATCCTGATGCCTACTTTAACAAGAATTTAAGCCATTAAATCGCTTCATATTTTTATGCGAATTAAATTAACATTTTTAAATATCAAATTAACACATTTTAAGCTAATTTAACAAAAAACATGCTGTATTTTTTTATTAATTTTCGTGGATTTAAACTAACTGATCCGATGAGCATCAGGATGAAGAGAAGATCACGCGCAACATCCGAGCTCGAAAGTTTTAATCGCGTGACTAAATTATAGTTATATTCATATACGGGGGAGCCCAAAAGTCAGTTAAACATTGTAAACACTAAAATTCAAGTAATTCTTTAGTTACAGACTGCAAAAACCATCGAATTAACAACGCTTAGATACGCTCACGAATCGCTGACTCTCTCGCAAGAGACGTGTTGTTAATGCTCTTTTGGGCTACCCAGTATATGCATATATGTATCCGGATTAATTTTATTTAGTAATAATAATTAAACGAGATGTATTAAAATTTAAATGTTGGTTATAATCAATTTATTACACCCCCCGAACGTTTATAGAGAAAAATTTAATGGCAAAGCCGTAAAGTAAAGCTGCCATTTGCATGATTATCCTTTGATAAAAAAGAAAAAAATAGTGGGAAATTATTTAAATAAGCTAGTAATTATATGCAATATTAATTTTCGTGTTAATAACAGATTAAACACCGCAGAAAGAATTTTTATTACATCCTAAGAAGTCCTAAAACCCTTGGTAATTATGCACGTGTTTAGTCATTATTTTAGTTGAACTACTTAGAAAATATTCTCATTAAATAGAAAATAATAAGTAGATTGTTAAATTCTCGAATATCTTTATTTAAAATTTCTGAAATTAATATTATGAAAACTTCTAATGGAAAGCTTTTAATTTTGAATTAAGGACGGAAACTAATGAAAAGTCACACCTCGTTACCTCTAAGTACACAAATTGGGCATGTTTTATTTTGACATCTTCATGTTGTAGTGTTGATTATAGCTAGTTAATTTGGTAGCCAAGCTGTATTTCCGCTTAATTATCCCTTATCTCTTCTCCTATATTCGGAGGATAAATTAATTAGGCCCACTATAAACCAAAACTAAACCATTGTCAAGCGGGGGGATAGGAGTTTCTTTCACTAAATCTCTGCATTAACACAAAAGTTTTCTGTTTGGCAAAGTCTTACCAGCTAATCCTCTAATCAATAATTGAAATTCTTGTCATTAATGGTTGTAAAAGTCGTTACAAATCCCCCAAAAAAGACTTTTCTGCAGCTTCTATACATTAACATCTTCTCAAACACCTGTGCAGCATCCATAATCTAGAACACTTTTTGTATAATTTTTTAAAACGAATTTTCTGTGTTAATTAGTTAATATATATATATATTTCCTTTTTATTTCGACATAAAAAATCATATTCGAGAGATAATTATAGGTGACGATATCGATTTTCGGTGCAAACGACTTACAAAGAATCACGAAATCCCCTCGGCTCTATATTAAAAGCAACAGAAATGATGAAAATCCGGAGACTAAAGTTTCAATTGGTTGACTTAGCGTGTAATTTAAGAAACTAAACTCGACCTTTAATCGAATTTCACACCTTATTGTTTTCATTCCACAAAACTCTTCTTTATTTATAGCCCAGGAAGTGACATTGATTACGTTGGAGTAAATGCCAAGTTTAAATTCGACCCTTTTATATATATCTAGACTATAGAAGTTAAAAAAAGGTAGGAAGGAATGGTCTTTCACCTTTGTTGTCTGGGGATTTTCTTGTCTTTTCTAACACAGTGTACAGGATAATTCAATTTTAGTGATCATTAGCACTAAGTAGGCGTACTCATTGTGACGTCCGATGCTATTTTCTTTCACAATCCCTTCTGTTGAGATTAATGGAGTTTCGTCGCTCCAACTGAATCGGTTAGTCGATGTTGCCGATTGTAAAAAGCAAATCCCTGTTCTATATAATTTATAGTACTCCTAGCACAAAATATTCCGAGACATACCGACGATTTGTCAAGTTAATAAATAGTTTTGAATATAATAAGGGCCACTACAACTGTGAATGGCTTCCGTGTTGCCGTGGTCTCACCACTTGGGAAATTAATACTAGTTCTGTTAATATTACCTCTTCAATCTCTCGCCACCGATTCGATAAAGCTAAGTTGGCTTCAGTTATGATTTGGCCACAGAATGTGCCTACAGAAGGGATTTGGGTCTTGCAATTTATTCAAGCTCGACAAGTTTCTAACGTTTATAATTCGTAATACGCGAGATACGATCGTGATTCACGCTACTCCCGAGCATTATCGCGTAGGATTGTTGCGGAAACGAAGAGAAATCGTTCTGGAAAGGTGATAGAATCTTTAATTCCACTCAGAGAACAATGCAGCATGTGGATAAACAACAGGAATTACAGTATGCGCGCATACAACATCTCTTTACAAGTATATAAAAACACATCGAATGATATACAGTTGTTACAGTCTTTTGTTTTCTTTTTAATTTTCTTTATTTGTTTTCAATCTTCATGATTATGTATGTATTGCTAAAACACGTGGATTGATTGGTTTTCGTATACGTCGCTTACGTAACGAACCTGTATACGGTGACGATGATTATGAAGATGTGAGGCATCACACTATTGGCCGATGATGCGCAAATTAGGTGTTCGTGGGGCACGTCACGTATCGAGACACGTTTCAGTTTCTTTGGCGTGGCACATCTGGTCTCTCTTGGCATGTTTACCACGTTGCTCCCTCGATCCAGCATCCATTCTTTCAATAAAACTAAACGGCAATCGCAATGGAATGGGTTGTCTATCAAAGAGAAAACAGGGGAGGAGGAAAAAGTACACGTGACATTAAATCTGTGTATTCTACAACAGAACTGAAGTAGTATAAAGAGAAAAAAAAAGGTGGTACGAGAAGTATATCGATATCAATATTTGAAAGTACGTAACGAAGAGATCAATTCAACTTCCGTTTCGTCCTTCAAACTACTTCTGGCGCGGTAATATAACGACAAATCGCATGCCACAACTACATAATATCTTATAAATCACGAATAAAATCAGAATTAATAGGGAAAAATACAAAAAAAATAAATAAATAAGGAACGTTAAGGAGTAGTTTTGGAAGGTTTTCAAAGAACATAAGTAATTTTAAAGGGAAAAAAGAAGGGTGATGACTTACCATGAATATCTAAAACTTGTAGGGTGTCCAAAACAGGTCCCAAGGTCTCGAAAGATAGAAAAGTGAGGCGGTTGGAATGAAGGTATAGCCACTCCAGGGAGTCGAGAATGTCGAATGCCGTACGATCGATATACCTCACACTATGGGGAACAGGTCGGTCAACGGTAAGGAAAGGAGGGAAATCAAGATCAACCCCTGGAAGGTGAAAATCCTCTTGGTTTGGATGTCATTAACAACATCTACTTTCACCCTTAACAAATTAGGGGTCAATTAACTGTTCGACATTAAAATAAACGGGCTAATATTGTTACTACTCATTAAACTTTCCCTCTTTAAACACACATACAACAATAGCTCTTACTTATTTCTTTTTTAAAAAAAATATAGAAAACCAGCTAAACATATATTTAAATAGTGATTTTTTTTTAATTTTAAAATTTGAAGTCACCTGTTATTCTGTAGGTAAATGAATTTCAACGAAGATCCGTAAGGTGTAAACGCTTCCTCTCCTATGTATGATATGTTGTTACTACGTAGATCGAGTTGTCTCAGTTTAGTCAGGTTCTGTAATGCCGGAAGAGGAATGGCGTTGAGACGGTTCCTTCCTAGTTTCAGCCATTCTAAAGAATCTAAAAAAGTAGAAAAAAACGTTCTTTTTTTATTAAGAAAGATAAAAACGTCACAGATTTTGTTGCCATTTTAAAGATGGAGTCGTTTCAGAAATGTCCACTTTAGTCACTTAAATCCATCGGTAAATGCTCTCTAGTTAACTTTCTCTTTCTATGGCTATTTTTTATATATTTTTTTCTTTTTTATGGCTTTTTCTTGGTCTAGAAAGAGAGAAAAGACGTTATTTCTATAGGAGAAACTCGTTCCTGTGACGTGTTCACCTTTAGTAAACTTAATTAGCATCACGTAGGATGGAGGAACACGAGGAGTAATTGCAGGAATCTCGTATATCAATGATTCAAAAGGGAGAATTTCGTTGCAAATTGTTAGAAACCAATACTGAAACTTTGTATTATTTTACCACATTGTTAAATTTTAATGATATTTGGATGCAAAGCAAACACTCCAGTGATTATTGTGCAGGAAATAGTAAATGTGGCGGTAATTTTCATTATCGTAGCGTTAAATTACTCGAGAAATCTGATCCGGAAGGAAAGGAAATCCCCGAAATTTTCCTCATTTCGAGATTTAAATTATTCAAAACTCTTTATAAATCATATATTCTAATGCTATATCGAGGTAAGGTAAGTATATATATATATATACATATAAGCAAATTTCCTTCAATGTTTTGAATTCTCATTCATCAAAATATCTCTTATCTGTCAGGTATTTTTGCAGGAATTATCTTATTGAAAAATAATTAAATCGTTAAAGCAAACCGGATAAGTTACATTATAATAATAACAGAGAACACCCCCCTCTCTCTCTCTCGCGCTCTCTTTACTTTTTGTGACGCACCCAGATGATTTATGAGAAGAATAAATCATATAACCTACGAAAAAAACTAAGAAAAATATTTTAAAAAATTCGATATTTTCTGATTTAATTTGATTTTCATAAGAATTTTTAGGATGCAAAAAGAAAGAAAAATAAAAAAAATCTGCATCCAGAGATGGAGATGGGTGACTTTTTTCCCCTTATACAGAAGCAAATACAATATTCAAAAGCAGAGAAAAGTTTGATTATGCAAAGTAGTCATTTTACTCCGAAAAAATGGCAAATATTAAAAGGTTTTACATAGAATTCCTATGCAAAATTAGCGAAAATAAATGAAGAAAATTTACGAGACGTCATTTAAATTATCAAATGATCAATTTGAAAAGATAAAGATTGTATGGACATTTTAAAAGAATAATTCATTAGATTAATAACGTTTTGTTTAATTAATTTAATTGTAAAGCACGGATTTTAATAAAATAATGCCATTTTAGTTAATAATCTCTCGTCAATTTACATCATTCACCGTTCGTTTTAATCCTATCACAATTCCAAATTTCGAGACTTCTCTGACTTAATCTTGTAGGTAAATTTTACTACGTTAAAAGCTATAAATTTCCAAGTAAAAATTATAAATCAAGGATTATAAAAATCTTTTTTTTCTTTAATTAAGTAATTTATAGTTTACAATAGGATTTTTCCACGATTTCAACGTAATTTTTCGATAAAAATCTTAAGAATTGTTAGCTGTTGTTACTCGATAGAATCGACTTAATTCATTGAAAAATATGCGGAACAAAACGATTTTAATGTGTAAAGAATTCTTTAGGTTGTTACCATAAATGATGAAGAGCAATTTTAATCTGATTATTCATTCAATTCGTCATCAAAGATGAAAGAGCTTTTGTTAGATCCCGATAACTACTTCGTTATCTTAAACAGTAAAGAATATTAAAACTTTCTATACTTTATCTAGAAAAATCTCTTGAGTATCGAATACCGATTGCACTTTCCTAACTTTTTTCCTTGATTTTTTAACCCGATCGAAATGAATTTTACAAGTAAACATCAATATTTGATTAGAAACAACGATATGAAAGGATGGAGAAGTTATCCACTAAACTCTTGTTTTCTTGGTGAGATGCCAAAATTAATTTGTCTTAAGGTTAAAGAAAGGTAAAGAAAATCGAGAGGAAAAAAAAATAATAATAATAAAATTTAAATATTTTCGATAGTTTCTGCCTATGTAAAATGGTTCCATTTTATGATTTTCGAATCATCAATTGAAGTAAATACAATTCAGATCATTCCAAAACTCGAAATCAAATAAGATTTACTCTCTTCCTATTCAATAAAACTATGATTTGATATGCAGCCGCAGGAAAATCGTTTCCGAGTTGAATCTAAACCCCGAAGCCATATTTTAACTTCAATTTTTAAAGATAAAAAGAACGTTCCATAAGAGAATTATCCAGTTGGAAAGATGCGGATGCTTCATCTACAACATCCCAAATCATTCGCACGGATAATCTTTTGTGGGTTTACATATATGACACGAAACAATTTCTCTTTAACCTTAAAAATAAACTAAGAATTCATAGAAAAATAACTTTTTTTTAAATATATTTCAGAACTTTTCAAATTATTAAGGAAGAAATTAGATGAAAAATCCACTTTTTGAATATATTAAAAATAGTAAATTAAGTTCTTTCTTTAAAAAAATAATAATAAAAGAAAATTAAATGTAGAAAATTATAAAATTTAATTTTTTTGTCTATCCTTTATAAAGAAATCCTTAATTCAAATTAAGGAAATCTTGCCATTAAAGTGATTGTACTGAATTAATTTATAGGAGGAGATAAAAGTCGAGAAGATTAAAACAAAACTCCTCTTCCTCTTCTTCTTTTTTTAAAATAAAAAAAGAGGAAATTAAACAGATAATTAGTTGCCTGGCAAGAGAAATTTTACAAATTCTTCTTCTTTCTAAATGAAAAATTATAAGTAAAAATGATAAAATAATCCATGAAAATGATCGTTAAAAATCGGTTATTTTAACTTTAAAGCAATTACTATGCATTAATTTCTATTCTTAGTCGATTTTTAAATAGTTACAGATAATATTTTTACATTTATTTATATATAATTAAAGAAAGTAAACACATTAAAAGAGATTTTAAAATTTTACTGCTCGCAAATTCCTTAATTGGATATTAAAGGAGTTGAAGCAAAATGATGCGGATCGAAATCCATGAATTTCTTTATTTTATTTTATTTTTTTCCATTCAGCTTGTAAACTATGAAGGCATTAACTGATTAAATACTAAATTTTTGCATTAAATTATAGAAAATAAGAAAAGTAATAAGTATAACGTTGTTTATATTTTAATATCTTCTATGTAATTCTCGTACATTCTGTCGAGATTTAGTGATTTATCAGAAAGAAGAGGTTGTAGTTTGGACGTTTCTAACGTCTTTCATTTAAATATTAATAATAGTTGCTAGCTTCTAGCAATTTTTTCTTCTTTTTTTTATTGTATTTTATTCTTATTTCTTTTGCTTCCAAGTCTTATTCTGATATACCCTGAGGAAGAGAAGGGGATGAAAACGTTCTTGATGTAAAATCTCCAGTAATCCTTTTATTACACTTCTGAAACGTTATTCATAAAAGTAGAAAAGACGCCTCTCTCTCCCTCTTTCTTCCTTCTTTATCAATAATAATTAAAAAATCTTCACACCAATATTTTTAGCTATAAATTTTCTACTTCATAATAGTCAACAGTTTCTTCTACATTTTTTAATTTACAGTCTACATAAATATATAAACATACTTTGACATATTAATTCTTTAACGTCTTTCATATATGTCGCCCATTTTTCTTCTTCTTCTTCTTGCTTAGAAGATCGATAGATAAAAGAAATAATTAAGTGAATTTAATACATCGTTAGGTAAATTATTTATAGAGAAGAATACAATTAAAGCTGGAAATTTTTTCCACTTGTAACTGAATTTTTTTAGATTTAAATTTGAGAAAAATTAGAATTTTTAAAGCGAATGAATTCCTTTCGGAGTGAGAATTAATATGTGAAGTACATTAAAAAAAAGAAATTGGTATGTAGAAAAATTCCATAGCTCGACAGCTAATTAAAACGATTACAAAGAAAACGCTAATTCGCTCAAGGATTTCGGAATTCCATTTCGACGAAGGAGGAAAAAAAAAACCGTCCGTTACGAAGTATAAAGAATTGGTAAAAGTAGAAGGAGAGTGGGGGAAAAAGGCAATGTCTTCTTTAGAGAACACGCTCCTTGTTCCCACAACATAGCATTAAACGTTCTTTATAGTTAAATGAAGCAAAAAACTGTCCGTTAAAAGTGATGATGTTGACACACACTAAGTTGGCTTTGAAACAAGTTTTCTTTGTCTCCTTAGTGTCATAACTGTCAGAAAGAAAATGAATCTTGGTCTATGTTATTTATATCCAAAAGGAAAACTTAAAAAAAAGAAGAAAAAAAGAGGAGAAAGAAGAAGAAAAAAAACCCTTTGCTCGTCTTAAATTGTTTCTATCTTTTCTCTAAAGAATTCTATTAAAGCAAAACAAATGTATTCATTTTTGATAAAAGAAAAAACATATACATTGGTATGCAAATTAATTGCCACAATTGTTGTTTTATAAAGAAAGGATAACAAAGCGTTTGTTTGAAAGAATACGTCAGTCTTCGTCGCGCCTTTAACGCCGAGTTCCTCTCAGTACAGATTATTATTTATCTTAGTTTCTTTTAAATTAATTTACTTAAATTTTTGTTTTTAAATCAATTGTGACATTATACAGGGTGATACAGAAGCCAATTAACCGAGTTAAAAAACGTTTATATCTCGATTAAGTGACTTTTGGACCACATTGTATCCATTCTAGTAAATTCTTACAGAAAATATGTTAATAAGTAAATAATTAAAATATATATCCTGACGTATATAAGCTAAATTTTCAATCAAAAAAAGGAAACAGATTCAGACAGACTAAATTTAAATTTTTCTGTAACGTTAATTGCTCTTAGAATAAATTAAGAATCTGATAAAAGAAAGGATAAATATATTCCTTATCTTATTCATCTGCACGTAAACAGACTAAATATCTGTTCACATCCAGATCTAAAGGATGCGGAGGATGCTGCAGATGGATATTTCTTCCATTATTTTCGGATCCTAAATAAGATTAAAATATTTTTCCTTGTCAAAGTTTCTTCTTTGGTTTATCTCCGTGGACCATATACACTTAAGTTTACTCTTCATTTAATACTTATTATAACGATGATGGAGTTGTGTTGGTAAATCCAATATTTCCACAATAAATAAATAAGGAATGATACTTTTACAACAGTGTAGTTATGAATTTAATAATTATAATCATTATCGTTTAATGATAATTATTAAAATACAGAAGAAAGTTCTGATGATGATGATTAAAAATAGTTTTCGTGTAATTTTCAATAATTTAAATTAAAAAAAAAAACTTGAGGAGAGAGCAAGAAAGTCTTTAAGAAAGTCGAGAAAATTGGAGAAAAGAATAAAAAATCATAAAAATTAACTCATCTGCTAAAGAAATTATGCATATTTTAGACGAAATTCAATGATAGATCGCACGTATTAATTAATTAAATATAAATTACCCAAACATTTTATTTTAAAACTAATAATGTATTCATGCAAATCAATGCCTATAATAAGCTGATGCGCTAGAGTACATATAAAATTATAAAAGTTGAGATAATAATTTCCTAGATGTATGTTTATTTTATTAAGATTAAATGCTAGAGTTAAATGTTGACTCTTTTTTTCCAGAGACTTTTCGCCATTCTTTTCTTCAAAATAGTTAACAAAATATCTTAGAGATAACCGAGTAAATGTGGTCAAATAGTCTGGCAATTCCCTTGACGTTAACTCCATCGAGAAATTTGTTGGCTATAATTAAAGCCAGGCTTTGAAAGATGAATTCTACAATTAAAGAAAGCTTCGTTTCCGTTGGTAAGGTTTGCTTTCGTCTTAATTATTTATTTAAAATATGGAAGAAAAAACATTATTTGCATTATATTCTTGGAGAGGAGAGAGCATTACTTCTTGGAAATATTTATTTTACAAATAAATAAGCTATCATTTCTCTTAAAGATATTATTTGTCTTAATTAATTTGCACAACACCGCATATAAAAGAGAGATGCGGCAGTGATTTAATTGTTAATTAAAATAAATGTTAGTTTGATTAAGAGACTTTCCTTCAATTAGATCAGGAATCGTCTTTGGAGTTTACCAAAGCGACAAGAATTGCTAAAGGCGAGAAAATTTTAATTTAGAAACTTACCTTCAATGCCTTCGAATGCTTGAGGATGAATGGAATAAATAGAGTTATTCTCCAAATCTAAAGAACTGAGGCGGTGAAGATTACTGAAAGCTCGACTTGGTAGTATTTCCATGAAATTCGAACCCAAATCCAATATCTCCAATCGGCTCCCGATATCAAGAAATTCCTGAGGCAAGATGGCCGTTATTTTGTTCTCATGCACTTGTAAACGTTGGAGAACTTGGAGATTTTTAAGAGGTCGTGAGGGCACGGCGGTTAAAGTGTTACCACCCAAATTGATCCTCGTCAGGCTAGCACCAACTCCAGAAAACGCGAGATTATCTATAAACTTGATCCTGTTACCGTATAAGGATAACCATAGCAAAGAAACGAGGCCGTGAAAAGCGGCAGCGTGAAGGATTTCAATATGATTGTTGTTTAAATTAAGAGATACCAAAGTATCTAAGATTTCTAATGGTTTACTGGGCACTTGCTTCAAATGATTATGCGATAAATCTAAAGATTCGATAGTATCTTGTATATCCACGAAACTGTCGTCGTCCACGTTTGTTACGTTGCTTCTTTTAATTATCAAATGAATTACGTGAAGTCCGTGTACTAAATAATATGGCAAACTGGGAAGTGGATTATGTTTGAGTCTCAGGTGCCATATGGGCTGTCTGCTGTGTCCTAAATTATCGAAAACGTGACGCAACACCTCCACCGACGTATTTTCGCAGCTGACGTCTAAACCCCGGGCTCTTTCTACGCACGTGCATGGAGTTATCAATGGTTTCATGGGACAGTCGTAACGACCGCTCGGGTCCAAGTAACTTGATATTACTATAGTTAATAAATAAACTAGCCATATTGTCCCGAGTACTATCTTCTGTGCTTCCATGGTGTAAGGATCATCATGTTGTTTGAGGAGACCACCTGAAAATATAAGTTTAAACTGTAAACAATTCGTTTTAATTCAAAATAATTACTTTAAAATACGGTTAATCGAGAGACTTATCAGTTTAAATTTATGCATTATTATAATATTTTTCCATATACCGCTCGTAAATTTTACTAATTATTTCACTAATGCAACTTTACACTTAAAATTAAGCTTATGAAAATAATGTAAATTTACTCGAATTAATTTTACAAGGCACATAACTGTCAAGAAAGTAAGATAATGGTGTTTATACGAAGGGATATTTGTCACGGTCCGTTTCTAAAAATCACTTTGCGTATCACGCAAATTCGTGACGATTTTTTTTATTTTTATTTTTCTCCTCGAATAAAAATAATAATAATAATAATAAATGGGGAGCGATTATAATTTCGAGTGGTAACAAATTCATAGAGTTGGCGTGCAAATTATGTGTTCTCTCGATAATCCGGCATCCCCTTGAGATCCCGTTTCTACGAAAATGTTACTCATTCAGTTTTCCTGGTCACACGGGTTTAATTCCTATGTACAGTACTGCATACATTACGAATAAAGAATTAAACTTACAATTACTGTATCACTGTACTTAATTTTTACAATAATAAAAACAATGCAACTCCGAAAAAGAATCAGTACCAAAGGACCACATGTCAAGTCATTCGTTGCATTTAGGTAGGCTTTTACACTCTCGATAATGGCCGGGTTAGCAAGAGTGTAGCGTAGAAAGTTCGAGTAATGCCCGATAAATACTGTATATGTAACGCTTATTTTCTACACACAAAAATTTATATATAAATTGAACAGGTACGAGCTCTTCTTCCATACAATTTGCTATGTTGAAGAGGGATTTTTTTCTTCTTCTTCTGGCGCGAATGTGTATTTTGAAACCGGAGCCACTACTCTATTTATTCGAACTTCTGGTAGATTCGTGCTTTTCTCCATGTCCAGCCTAACAATAAGTCAATCTTAGATGTTTACAACTGCCGGTTTTTGTTCGGTCGTTTACACAACTTTTGTGGACTTTAGCAGGCCACAAAGTACACGAAGATCGATAACAAGTTACAATGGAGAGTACTTCTTTCATCTTTTATCAGCGGGAGAAAGTTTTTGCATCGATTTCGTAGAAGGAAAGTCTGTTAGCAAATATACACTTCAATCACTGCACTGTGTGACTCCAATTTAAGATAGAAAGCCATCATCCTCTCCAATTCTTTGTTTTCTACTAGTTAATATACTAGCAAACACCAGTAAAAATCCAATTTGACATTCGCCGAAAATTGATGGGGGTAATCGCTACAATTTACTAGCAACAGCAGGTTTAGAATTTAATTTGGATCTTGTAATGCAATCCTACTGCTTGCATCTCCATTTTTTTCCCCTTTCTCTTCTTTTCTTCGACTCTTTCGCATCATTTTCTTCTTCTTCTTCTCTTCTTTTATATAAATTTTCAACAATAGAATACAAAATCAAACCGATAAATCCTAACAGTTTATAAATATAATGGATATATCAAGTATCTGATTTTTTTTCTGCAAAAAAAAAGAGCAAGAAATTCTTCTTTACTCACGCCGTTTGTCTTCGAAACGACTGTTATAAGCAAAAGAAAAAATATTATATTTTCTCAGGTTTTTCATTTTAATGTTACTCGCTTACCAAATGACAATATTTCTTACAGAAGTTTATACTAGAAAGTCTCATTCTTTCAATGCAGGGAAACACGAGCAAGAAGTGTGTTCACTGTTTTCTGTCAAACAAGACCCTAAGGTGACATATTACAGTCCAAAATAACACGATACAAAACGTCAAAAAATTCCTGAGTGGAGAAGATAACTTCAAAAAAAAAAAAAAAGTAAAGTAAAGAAGAAGGGGAGGAAACCGATTTATGAACTCACAAAACTATTCTATTAAAGATTTACTTAAATATTTTAGTGGATAGATCGATGCTAGGAAAACTCCATTAACCGGAGTTCGATCAACCGTGGCATTCGATTAAAAAACAATACGTAGATTGTATACTTTATTCTTAAACAATATAAGAAAATTTTATCGTTATGAGGTCTGTTTTTATAGAATGAGAATATTTTCTTCTCTTCTCTCTTCGAAGAAGCTTGTGAGAAATTGGCACTAAATCGGGTGTGGAATTAAATCGAAGTACTTCAAACAATAAGAATCGTATTTATGTAGTAATATCACGTGGTTTTGATGTTATTTGCATGCAATGCAAGATCGTGCACTTGATTATTCACAGATACTAAAGACTTATATTTAATATTTATGAAGGATCCACTCTGATACTTTAAGAAGGTGGCACTATATCGAGATGATTATGGCTATATATTGTAATTATTCACAGCACTTTGACGCTATATAGGAAGGTGTTGTATCGAGGTTTTTGACTAGAAAGTTTTATACATAATTACTTTATTACGTGAGCTGTCAAATAAACGAAAGTTACCGTACTGTATAAAATACGAATTCTATTATCCGTGACTTTTCGACTATCAGGAAATATCCACACTATACTAACCCGATTAATAAAGCTTCAATTCCGCTTAAAACATTTAAAAAATGCCTGTAAATAAGAAAATAAATTCACACGAACCCACGAATAAGCTAGAGAATACATTAAAAATTTACTTACTTTCACCTGTAATTATCGAATAAACTCCTTAAATAATTAATACCAAAAAAAATTGAATGTACAATTTAACTGAATAATTATATACTTAGGGATTTTATTACGTTTGACTTTAAAAAATTTTATAAATTAGAAGAAGAAGAAGAAGAAGAAGAAGGAAAAGAAGAAGAAATTTCCTTTGAGCAATAAGAGAATTTAGGAATTTATATAATGAAACATTGCAGAATTAGAAGAAATCAAAAGATAGCTTATTTGATTTTCTATCCAAAATAAATAATAGATAGAGACTATGTATGAAGTACATTTCTAACTTGATTTAGAATCGATCGCGTGGTCAATTCTAGTCCCAACATCAACTTGCTATAAGATTGCAATGTAATCTTCTCTTTGCTAAAGTTTTTATGCTTTGTTATTCTTAATAATCAATAAATCAACACTCGATTATATTACCTAAGAAGGGAAGATAATGCCCCAAAATTACTTGTTAAAATTACATTTAAAGATAAAACAATATACATTTTTAAAAAAGCTTTTATCGTCTTCCACGTAATAAAATTTAAATATTTTAAAAAGTAAATAGAATGTGTGCTAAGCTAAACCGTAAAAATCATCATCATCTTCTTCATAATTTATGGAGAACGAGAAGAGAAATGTACTTAAAATAAAGAAATTAATCGTATTAATTCTTATTTTCTTAAATCTTGAGAAAATATCATCATCATCATCGTGATTTATTTGCAATTAAAGAAGAAAATGGCTCCTAGATATAAAAGAATTTTAATTCTTCATTCATCTTCTTTTAATTCATAAAGAAGACAAATTTATATATTAAAATTATATTAAAATATTGATATAAGATATATTAAATAAGCATTTTTTAATCTGTATTTTGTTATTAGCTATTATAGAAGATTGGAAAAGAAATTAAGAATAGAAAACAAAGAGGAAAGGGGGAAAAAACAAATAAATATCATCTTTAAATATTAATAATGTAATTTTATTTTTATGACGTGCACTTATGTTTTTTATTTTATTTATAAGGCTTTTAAAATGTTTATGCATAAACGTGCGTGCGTGTTGGCTACCGTTGAAAATTTCCATCTTCTATATTAAATAAATCACTACTTGTAATTAATTAATAATCGAACATTTTAATCAAATTATTTCCTTAAATATTTACAGATTTATTAATAATGATTGGGGAATTGTCTGTAGAGAAGTTGGAGAAGAATTAAAGTATTCATATCGATATCATAACATTAATTTAATTATTCTAGATCTGAATTGGATGCGCTTCATTTGTATAATTGAATGAAAGTCTCGCACAGATGGATCGTTAAGAAGCTTTCCTTCTTTATTTTAACAATTGATAAATCGTTTTGGATTGTAATTATAAGCATTAAAATGATATTTATCGAATATGCCCTCTTGGAAATTTAATTAAAACTAAGAAAACTAAAATCGAAGTTTAGAAATGATCAATTCTTTTTTTAAAGAAATTTAAATTAAATTTTTTTTATTATTAATTTTATTGCTAATCTGTAGGATGTAAACGAAACAATAAAGGGGATAAATTGAGTGGATAGATTTAGATTAATCCATTGATCAATTAGAGGCGATTGTAAAGAGGAAGAGATTCATATCAGCAAGCTCCATTGTGAGCAGCAGATGGTTACAATCGAACAAACAAACTCGACTTCAATAGTTGTAGCTCCTTTCAAAACACATTTCCCATTGTTTTGGCGAGAAGAGGATGCATCTGCGACATTACCTAACTTTAAATATTTACATGACAAATAGTTGAAATGAGTTCAAATGACTCTTGCTTCCAATTCTCATTAGTATCAACGAAGATAAAGTCTATTATCGTTAAGTTTGTTATTGCTCTTTTCTATCGATGATAGGAATTTTCATCTTTCCGTTCGTTTCTTGTCATTTTTATACATCTTTGAGCAACTCTTTTCATGTGTATCGACGACGTTTCCTTCTTTGAAATGTTCACTGTTGTGTATGATAACTTTTGCTATCGAAAACTGTGGAAAAGAATAGTTTTCTGCATTTGAAATACGTAGAATAAGCTGTCGTTTTCTTAACTTTTATTTCTGCTAGACAAGCAGAAATGGCATAAATGCAATTTTTTAAAGTAAAAATCTTTCAAAAGTTGGTTAACGTTTACTTCCTTTAGTATTTTTAGATATATATATATATATATTTCTCCATTCTACCTTTCTTTTCATTCGATTCAATTCAAGTAAAGATTTATACTTCGAGGCGACTTTTGGCTGGCATTAAAATAAAAAGCATTTTCTAAAGTTGACTTTAAATAGATTTTGAAACCATATTTTAAAAGATTATCGA